GTCCACTAACTGCGGCGCACAAGTCATTAACCTTGCAAGTGCATCAAGAGGTACTGCACGGTTTAACTTCAAGCTCTTCAGGTTTGGCGACCTTGCAACAAGCCTCTCTAAAGCAGCAACATTGGTCTCTCCTTTAAGACAGGCGAAATTCAACGAGATAAGAGTTGTGCAGCTATCTGGAAAACAGTTCAGCCATTGACCTCTATGATCATCAATTTCATTCTCTTGCAGATCCAGCTCACGAAGTTGCCTAATAAGAAAGACAACACATTTTAAAAACAACTTAAAACCTCGAGAAACGCCAGTAAAAGGAAGGCCTTTTACCTGCAATTAGCAGCAATGGAAGCTAAGCCGTCAGTGGTAAACCCTTCACAGCTGACAAGGACCAAAGACTTGAAATTTGCAAAAGAACGTGAAAGAAGCTCCAAGCTTTCATCTGTTACCACCATTCGCTTCAACCTCAGCTCCTCAAGCCCTACACGGCTCCTAGCCAAAGCTTCAATCCAAGGAAGCACGAAACCTCCCCATTCATGAGGAACCAAGTTGAAATCAGCGAAATGAGGCTTCCCTTTAAGAGTTAAGGATTTGAGACATGGAAACCTCCCGATTAATCTCTCTGGATTGATGGCGTAGCAGTTTCCGATGAACACGTTCTTCCTACTAAACCTCTCGATCTTGTGCCATGATTTGCAGACCAGAGAGATCGAGTTCCTGTCTTTGTGAGAAGCTACGAAGTCAAACACGTGCTCTATGACCTCGTCTGGGAAATAATTCATCTTCCTCTATCGATTGCTGAACAGAGGAATTGACTTCAAGCTCAGCTCAGTGAAGCTTCACAAAATAGTTCCGGTGAACCTGAAGAATCTGCAAGATAGCCAGATTCAAATTACACAAAACAAATTTTGAAAATCTCGAGCTCGAAAAAAGAAAGAAATGAATTCAACAGATCCTGAAACTTTATAAACTAAACACAGAGATTAAGATTCAGATCTACATGAAAACAAATGAGCTAGATCTACGAGGAATGAGTTTCAAGACCTCGAAGCTTATGAAGCTACTAAAGATCGTCGTCGGAACCAAACTCGCTGATGATTCGATTGAAGAAGAAGAAGAATTGGAAAAACTCAACGAGTAAAACGTTGGAAAATAATGAATCTGGAGTTAGCTTCAAGTCCAATGATGATGAGATGATCAAAGATTTGGATGCGTGAGAGAGAGAGAGAGAGAAACAGATCACGCAAGCAAAAAACCAGAAACTCTCAAACAATTTAACCAGAGGGAGAAGCTGCTAACCTAGCTGACCAAAAACTAACCATGGTTAAGTTTAATCTTGGTCATGTCGGATGATCCAACGGTGGAGATTGGTTCAATGGATAACCAAAAAAGGAATCTTGACCGTTGAAGAGTGGTATGGTTATGGCATGTGTTGCTCACCACTGGTTTACGAGACCTTTCGCCAAAGAGAAAGGGTGAAGTGATGCATGTCAGAGCAAGGGACATATAAATTGCCCTTGTCCTTTTATATTATTACCAAATTGCCACGTAAAAAGCTTCATGGCCAATAGGAAAATAATAGGGGGATTAGCAAAAATACCCCTTTTCTCATGCCCCTTTTCAAAAATGCCTCTTTTACATGTCCATTTTCAAAAATACCTCTTTTTAAATCTGAAATTTTTATAAAGTTTTATTAGGTTTATAAGGTACTTATGGATTGTAACTACTACTTGAATACTCGATCCAAGTATTTATAAGGTTTTATAAGGTGTTTTTAAAGGTTTTACAAGTTATTTTAAAGGATTTTTAAGGTTTTTCAAAGGTTTTACAAGATATTTTAAAGGTTTTTAAAGGTATTTAAAATGCATTTATAAGGTATTTATAAAGTATTTATATGATTTTAGATACATAGAAATGTAGTTTGTGTATGTTTTAATAATATTACATACATATTTGGGTAAATTTTATATTTTTAAGAGCATTTTTTATAAGGTTTTAAAAAGGAGTATTTTTGAAAAGTGGCATTGAAAAAGTGGCATTATTAACAATTTCCCAAAATAATATGTTCCATACTCTTGATTTAATCGTTTTTGATTATGTATTAATCTTTCTTGGTTGTTAGAAAGTGCAACAATGTTAAAAGTATTCGTGAAAATGATTTTTGATGTGGATTAATTAATACTTTATTATTGCTTAATTAAATACAATACAGTATTTTTGATTCGTTAGAAAGTGCAACAATAGGCAAAAAAAAAAAAATCTAACGTACTTTCGTATCGTACTGCATCAAATACATTGTTGTTACTTATTCCCCTTTAGACACTTTTTTTTTTTTTTTTTTGTCATCTGGTAGAAATTTTATTAAAAATGCAAAGAGCCATAATACAAACCATAACACAAAGTCGGCGACTAACAATGTAATCCCGAAAACTAATTGTGTAATCGGCGACTAACAATTCCCCTTTAGACACTTATCTCGGTAATTTTAGTTAATTGTGGAATAAACAAAAAAGAAGAGAAGCAAGGCGGGCTGAATTTGCCGTGGGACGATGACACCTTTTACGGAATTAGAAGTTCATGAATTTTTTTTTATTTTTTTTGGTTCTCCCATTTCATTTTTATTTATTTACAGTTTTTTCATAACCAAACAAAACCAAAAGCTAATCAAACTTCCATCTTTTTCAAAAGAAGGTGGTTATGGGTAGGGTTCCATCTCGATTAATTCGTAACTCTTTTGAAAAAACAATTTTCTTAGTTTAATATTCAAACAATAATTTTTTTTTTCGAACAATAAATAAATTTAAGTAGTACATTTTCTTTCGATTTGTCATATACTGGATACATTTAAGATAAATGATAACAATCATAGGTTAATTGTGTGTTTTTTTACGGCCTGAATTCAGAATTTATACTATTTGTATTAGTTCTTTATACATATATCTACTAGATAAATTGACAAAAAAAAATTAAGACACAAATCAAATAGAAAAGAAAAAATAATATAAAAGAGCAAAAAGGTGGCATAATCAAACTCAATAATAGACCCACTTGCAGATTATTACATGGAGGAGAAGGGAAGAAGGTAGAGTACACAAACAAAATCATTGTTACTCGTTGAGACTTGAAAGATTTAGAGTCATCTCTCTTGCACAACACTAGTTTAGTAATTTTGAAAATAATGGTACTAATTATTCGTAAAGTACTTAGGAGCATAGACAATTACATACTATCAACAAATATCTTTCATAAATCCTCTGAGAATTTCCCCAATGGCTAATCTCTTGACTCTTATGTAGAAACAAGTTGTATCAGTCAAATATCGTGTCGGAATAGACTCATGTATGATGTAACCAATACTTCTCTTGGTAAAAATGTTTTTATTTTTTAATCCAAAAAGGTTATATAGTGATGATTTCACCTCTCTCTTGACCCATCATATGCTACAATGGCTGCCATGTGAAGGCCACCTTTTAGTAATCATCTCCATTTTCAGTTTTTCACCATCGATCGGCCCAAAAATTCACCATTATCTTGGTTTTAGTTGACTCGGATAATGCCTGAATAGTTGGATTTTACTGTGCAACCAACCCCCATCTCTACCCTAAAAGTCACCTTAGTTAAAGTTATCTGGTAAATTATTTACAAGTCCAAGATCAGATTATTTTACTTAATTTTTACATATTTAAGTATTTCTCTCCTTTTCAAAATAAACTTTTTGGTTTTATCTGTAAGACAAAGTGAGAAACCTAACAGTAAGAAAAGGAAAATATTCAGGGGTATCAAAGCATAGAATATCCAAAAATATAATCATCTGGTGGTCTCTATCATCAGTAAAAGTTTTTGTAATTTTCTTCTAGAACTCTTATCTTCTTTTATTTTTTTCCCAGCTTTTTGTTGGTTCATGAGATTCTTTTTCCTTTTATCCTATGAATCCAAAGGCCAAATTCAAAGGCCCAAAAAGCAGAGAGAGAGACTCATAATGACGCATGTCTCTCTTATTCAATAATCTCCACATACAAACACCATTAAACATATCATCACACAATACCAACCACACACATCCATATCATTTCATAATATCATATACACACATCAACCGATCGATATACATACACTTTTTTTTTTAAGTATGTATGCATTTGTATCTCCCAAAACGAGATTCGGAAAGGAACCCTTTTTCAGTTCTCATTGTCACTCCCTGTGGTCCAGTTGTTTTTGAATTAAGAGTTATGATGATATTCTCCTGACAAAAATCTGTAACTCCTATAATTGAACAATTGAACTATACGAATCTATGTGTAGAATATAAATGGGTAAAATACTACTACCGGTTAAACGATAGAAACCATGTGGGGAGATTCACTTCAACACACACTGCTGAGTCAAGAAGACTTAGCAAAAATGTTTTCAAAATACACCTCAGAGAAAGGGGCACAAAAAAAAGAATTCACAACTCATAATATTCTCTCACAAGCCGCATGGAATCACATCAAAGAACATCCTTATGGAACATAACATTCGAACGACTATGTTACCGGCATTCATCCTATTAGTAGTATCACTCTCCTGACTACCACTCACCAGCTGAAGACAGAACAATGAGGATGAAAATTAAAGGTTTGACCTTTACTCATCCGCAACATGAAGAGCATAGCCAGTAGTGATCTTGATTCTAGTACTCTCACAATCTCTTTAACTAGTTCAGCTTAACCCAATCCCATCTCATTACCTTCTAGGACTTGGGTTGCATTGCCAAAGGAACACAAAAACATGAACTAGTTTTTCCAAAGACTTACTATAAGCTGCATCATCTGTAGGTAGATCCTAGAGTCTATCTAGGGAGCTTAAACAAGACTTTTAAGGATCATCCATCAGAGTAAACGGTTTACTGTCTCAAACACCTCGAAACCATTACATGAAAATGACCAATTCACTACCAGATTTTTCCAATGTAAAGTCACAAGCAACAATCTTTAAAGCTCACAATGGAAGTTACTCATCAAACGACTAAAGATCGGAAATCATAAGATAAGAGGCACATTGGATTGAATTGCAAGAACATCATAGATATATATAATAACCCACTTTGGTCCAAGCGTTTGAAACATCATTAGATATAACGAATAATCACTGAACAGAGACAAACTCTCATTAGAATCAAAGGAACTAATTTCTTGATTTTTCTTAATCACTAACCTCTCTTATAGCTAAAGGTTTTAAGCATCACTATCATCACTGCTATCATCATCCTCGTCGTTGACACCACGGTTACTGTTTTCATTGGAGATGAAAACTCCAGGCTGGCTCGATCGTCTCCTAGTCCTCGACGGAAGGATATTATCCAAATCAACCTCAGCCAAAGGATCATCGGAGAAATCGCTTTCGTCGTCTTCATCAAAACCTTCGTCATCTTCATCATCACTGTCGTCTTCGTCATCACTTTCCTCCACTTCGATCATTTTTCCCTTTCCCTTGTCCTCTCGAGAAATCCCTTTACCTTTCCTATCAACCTCTTCTTCTTCTTCTTCTTCTTCCTCTTCCTCGTCGTCTTCCTCTTCATCTTCTTCATCTGCATCTTCTTGCTCCTCATCTTCAGCTCCAAGATCGCCGATTACGCCATTCTCAACCTTTTCAGCTGCTTTCTCCGATAAAACCGATGATTCTGCACCAATCTTTTCCTCGGTGGAAGAATTCAGATTCTCGACGCCAGTTCCATTAATTTCTCCGTCTTTGGACTCAGACTCAACAGAATTCGATGAAGGATTAAGCTTCTGAGCCTTGTTTGCCACATTATCCTGCTCTTGGCAAAACAGATCAGATTTCCGCTTCACCGGAAACGAAGAATCCTGTTGATTCTCAACATCCGCCATAGATAAATCAATCTTCTTACTTCAGAGAATTCGCGATTGGTTTGAGGAAGACGATTCAGAGTTAGGGCTTTGAGCTGAAAGCAAACAATTAGAGTGAATTTTGGTGGTAACCCTAGAAGTTTTTGTAGGGTTTCTCAATGATTTTTACCGTCTTTGTTTCTCTCTACTTCATTATTTGGACCTCAACATATTGGCCCATTATTAAGCCCATCTACCTATCTTCTCAAAATACTGGTGAATGGTGATTAAACAAATTCACATTATGCTAAAATAACCGCTTAAACAAACAATTAATCGCTAAATCAAATGATTTTGTAAGTTTTATAAACCGGACTCGAACCAAGACCAAATTCAACTATTGTGGTAATTTAATGGTCGAGTCTCGAGTGTGTGTGTGGCAGCAGGAGAACGTGCCGGGGGATATAAAACCGGCTCAATGCTACAGTCATACCGGTTTGGTTTTCTATTCGATAGTATAAAATTGAAACCGGTTATCCAATTTGACAGGCAGAGAAGAAGATTTGATTGAAGTACAGATCCATCGGAGAAGAAGAAGACAGAGGAAGAGAGAGATTGAAGATCAATGACTTCGAGGTACTGGGTTGTTTCTCTTCCAGTGAAAGACTCTGCTTCTACGTTATGGAATCGATTGCAGGAGCAGATCTCCAAGCATTCCTTTGATACTCCCATTTATCGGGTACTCTGAATTTTGCTCGATTTGGTCTTTATTCGATTGCGAAATTTAGCAGAGATCTTGTACTATCTCGTCGAACTTGAGTTTCTACGATCTAATTTCGTGAGTTTTGATTTCAATTTCGCAGTTTAACATTCCTAATCTTCGTGTTGGAACTTTAGATTCTCTACTCGCTCTCGGCGATGATCTGCTTAAGGTAAATTCATTTGATCATTGAGTGGATTTTGCGCTTTTTATTTTACCTTCCTCTCGTGATTGAGAAATTTTTGAGATTTGTAGTCGAACAGCTTTGTGGAAGGAGTTTCGCAAAAGATCAGGAGACAGATCGAAGAATTGGAGAGGATTTCTGGTGTTGAGAGCAACGCTCTAACAGTTGATGGAGTTCCTGTTGATTCTTATCTCACCAGGTATATGTCATTTTCAAGGAGTTAATTGCAATTTTGATGGTGATCGGGTTTGTCAAAGAACGAAACTTTTGTTGATTGGACTCAAGGTTTGTGTGGGATGAAGCTAAGTACCCAACAATGTCACCTCTGAAGGAGGTTGTGGACAATATTCAGTCTCAGGTTGCAAAGATTGAGGATGATCTCAAGGTATTGTAGCTGAAACCTTTAGTTTTGTTGAACATAGGAAGCTTAAACTTTTATAAAGAAAGATTATTCGAATTGGTTTGTTGGTTTGAAATTCTGCGCAATGCGGGTTTCCTTACCATGATCAAATGAATTGCTTTGGTGGCGTTAACGACTCTGATTGCACATTTTATTCAGGTTCGTGTTGCTGAATATAACAATATCCGCGGTCAACTCAATGCCATTAACCGAAAGCAAAGTGGAAGGTAATTTTTTCCTTCTCATATTCATACTATAAGAGCACTAGAAACTGTGAGCTGTTTTGCAATAACAAAATTTGAACTTAGTTTTCTCATCTATCTAAATTTTGCTTGAAACATGATTTACCACATGAATGCCTTAGAATAGAGAAAAGTCATTTTCCAGAATATTGCTTTTGGTCTTTATCGATATCTCAACTTTTTTAGTATCTTTGTGGCATTGCGGCTGATCTTCCTCGTTTTTGTATCAGCTTAGCTGTTCGTGACCTCTCAAACTTGGTTAAGCCAGAAGATATTGTCGTGTCAGAACATCTCGTGACTCTCCTTGCTGTTGTTCCAAAGTATTCCCAAAAAGACTGGCTAGCATGTTATGAGACATTGACCGAATATGTGGTAAATTGTTGACTTGTTAGGTTTATTGAATGGACCAGTGGTAACACTATTGGTTTGGCGTACCGTGATTTTAATCAATTTATCCTAACTTGTTTCAGGTTCCTAGGTCCTCGAAGAAGTTGTTTGAGGATAATGAGTATGCTCTTTACACCGTCACTCTCTTTACTCGTGTCGCAGATAATTTCAGGATTAGTGCTCGTGAGAAAGGGTTCCAAGTGAGTATTCTGTTCTAGTTCCTGCTATTACTTCCAGATTTTTTTGTAGAAGTTAGAAATGATTATTTGCTAGTAGTGGTGATATTTCCTACGTACTGATTTTATTCATTGTACAAGTTAAGACATTTGGTTGATTCTCAAATCTCTGTTCATTATATATGGTACACCATCCTCTTTAGGTCCGTGATTTTGAACATAGTGTTGAAGCACAAGAGACTCGTAAACAAGAGCTAGAAAAGTTGGTTCAGGATCAGGAAAGTTTGAGAAGCTCTCTTTTGCAGTGGTGCTACACCAGTTATGGAGAGGTATCTACATATTGCTCTGTATATATATACTCTTGTAATAACAATTCCTGAATCTGTTTTGACTATCGGTCTATTTCTGTAGGTTTTCAGCTCCTGGATGCATTTCTGTGCTGTGCGTATATTCGCTGAGAGCATTATGAGATATGGTTTACCTCCAGCGTTCTTGGTAAATTAGGACTCCAAGCTATGCTATTCTAGAGAATCCCTCAACCCTATTAACTCCCTTACCAAATTTTTTTCTCTTGTCTGTCCAGGCATGTGTCTTATCTCCGGCTGTGAAAAGTGAAAAGAAAGTACGCTCCATTCTTGAACGCATGTGTGATTCTACCAACAGGTATGTTAAAACTCTCTGCCTATTTGTCGCTCTAGGCGTAGTATACATAGAAGCTGTGTAACATACAACTTCAGACTGATTCTTCCTTGCTTAGTATGCGTTCTTGAGGCCAAATAATCAAATCTAAGTCGCTTTAGTTGAATAACCATTTGCCACACAAAATCTAAGGGTGGATTCATCTATATAAGTAGTGTAGTTCGATGAGATTCCAAATTGAGCATTTTGGGTCTCATTGTATGAAAACAATGCAGTTTATACTGGAAAAGTGAGGAGGATGCAGGAGCTGGAGGAGCCATGGCTGGTTTAGCCGGTGACTCAGAGACATATCCTTATGTCTCCTTCACTATCAACCTTGCTTAAAATATTGATGAGAGATGCTTTTGATGCTACTTCTCCTCGTCTCTGTCTTCATCTGTTATATTTGTTTGTGTTCTATAGATTTCACATTTATTTTTCGTAATATATTATGATTTTCGAAATAAGGTGGCACTCAAGAGAGATGTTGCTGTAATTTATATTTGGCCGGAGTCTTTTAGATTCCGGTGAGTTTCAGACACTTGTGGAAGACAAAAGGTTATACAGTTGTTAAAGCCTTTTTGTCATTTTGTGACCTGGTTGATTTATCTATATCACTCTGTTTCGTTTCTGTCTCTTTGTTTTGGTCTGAACAATATTATTGGCTTTAGTTTGGTATTTCCAAAACGATGTCGGAATGTTCTGGAGGTTAGCATTTAGCAATCATGCAAACTGGTAACATTTGTGGCTGAGTGAAGATGTTAAATCGAGCAGCTGATGTTTTTTACTTTTTAACTAAAAATTGATATTCTTACTACCCCTTTAGTTTCTTGCAACATATTACAGTATATACCTTTTACATAATAGAGTTTTTCTAATCTCACTTTACTCTCTCACAATATTTAAGCCACTTTTCTATCAATAAGAGTGATTATTCAACCATTTGCGTATACAAACTGCTTTTTTTTTTTCTAATTTTGGTTTCTTAAAACGAATTTTCTTTTGTTGTTTTAACCAGTCTAAACGATTATACTCGTTTTGTTTTCAAAATTAGTCACCAGAGTCTGTATTTTTAGGAAATTATACTTTGTTTCATTTTATATGCATACACATAAGAACAACAGTAACAACGTAGTATATGTTGAAGTTCGTGTGATTAAGAACAAAACAGACTCCATGAAGGAGCAATGATGCTCTAAAAGCGAACCACAAAAGATTACAACATCAATAAGTGTAGAAACCTAACAAGCATTGATTCATTAACACAGAGAAAGCTACAGATCCCAACAATGGCTAAAACCAAAGAAAGATCAGGATGGAGCCGCATTGATCTGCCTGAAATCTTCCCATTAAGCTGGCCTGAGCTTGGACCAGGCGCTTCTGGTTCTGGAACAGGAGAGGTCGCTGTCTCTACTGGCCAGTCTTTGGTCGGAGAAGGGAAAAATGAAGACATATCTGGTGCATTGATATACGGTAAAACAGCAGGAGAAGCTAAGATTGTGGATTCACTGCAAACTAGAGTCCATTGAACCGATACAACGATCAAGAGAAACGCGGAAACAGAGAAGCTAGAAAACAGAGCCATGGGTGTTTCTTTTTCTTCTGTTCTGCACAAGAAAGATATTTTACCAAGTAAATATAAATAATAGAAAAGAGAAGAAGACAGCTTCTTTTGTTCCCATGTGTTTGTGTGTGTGTCTTACTAAGAAACAAAGAATTGCAATGAATATGTTCACGGACCAAAGAATGGGTCCTTAATTGTTTCACATGCCTATTTTTGGTTTCTTCCTCTAAAGTCATGTGATTTCATTTACCTCTTTTTCACTTCCACCACCTAAGGGGATAATAAGTAGAAAGCTTAATGGGTTTGAAAATTTGTCTGAGAAGCACAATTCTGAAGTAAATGAGAAGCGGTGGAGACTTCGGCAACTTGCAAGATTGACGATAAGGCAATGAGCTTTGCGTAGATCAAGTAGTAACGATCCAGATTATAAGATTTTTTTGTGTGATTATAAGCATAAGAATTACATAAGATTCTTTTAGGAAGCTTGCAAATAGAAAGAATCAAACAGAACAAGGCAACGAAACATCAAAATTAACGAATCTTTAGCTTTTCTTCCTCAAAACAAACATACAAGAGGCTCGTGGCGGTAGCATGTAATCTGCAAGCTTGTTGATCTTCTTCTGCAGACTCAGATGACTTGTGAAGGTCTTGGAATAATTTACCAGCTCGTTGTTTGTTCGAGCTTTTAGAGAGTAAAAGAATTTGATGATGCTACAACAGTCTAAGATGAGCGGTGTCATTTACCCGCTTTACCTGCCAACCGGTTTTCCACGAATGCTGTAACACGGTCACAGATGAATCCTCCACACAGATCTTATGTGTCATTAACGAGCTGCATCCAAGGATACCGGTAAGAAGACACTTTATAGGTAAAGAGTGAGTGAAAACTCCAATGCAGGTTGAGAGTTGAGAAGAAGAACTCTTGATGTTTATATCACCTAGGTGTTGTTCATCATTGTGATTACTAAATATCTCTTCACTACCCTCGTGATCACCGGTTGCATTCATCACCTGAAACCGGCTCTTCCCAGATTTCTTCCTTGTAAGAATTGGACGATGAACAGAATTCGCTAACGAGAACCCTCGGGAATTTGTGTGATGTGTAGATGGAAGAAGTTCTGATCTGAGCTTCTCCGACAGGCCTGAGACTGTCCCATTCAGAAACTGAACCATCCGAAACTCTACTTGTCTAAGTGATTCGCCGGATGGAGCTGAGAAATCAGGTTGGCATCTTTCTATTAAGCTTAGAGTTTCCGGTGTGTAGATCTCTGACCGATGACAACTTTCCCAGTCCCCTAAACTCATCTCAACAACAGCATCCGAGACTTGCAAATGCTCCTCCGGAAAATTCATTTCCTGCATCAAGTATCAAGGCATCGTTCAATCCAAAAATCACTTACACATTTCTTCTTACAAGCATCCTAACTAGTTCCATCGCAGTCTTAAGAGATTCTTACTATATTTGTTCTTATTAGTCATCCATCACGCTACCTTTTTGAACCATGAACAACACTATAGAGTCTCAAAGTTCTTAAGTGTTTGCGTCTGCAGTGACTCCATTGAAGGAGCGATTGGTTATTCTAGGAATCATCCTAACTAGTTGCATCGCAGTCTTAAGCTGATTCTGGCTGGTTTCGTTTCATGAGCTTCCTAGTTTTGCAGAATTGAATTCCAATTTCAAAGCCTTAGATCTAGAATTGAGAAATCGAAGAGTAGAGACTGTACCTGGCAAACGGAAACAGCCATGGATCTAGCTCGATCCAGAGGCGAAGAGAAGACAGAGGTGAATCGAACACCTTCAGAGTTTAAGAAGACGGCGAGAGCTCTCGCCTGACGTTTTCCATTGGGCGTGAGAGTAGCCACGTGGCATCTACCTCCAATCAGATCAGGCCTGAGATTGAGATCACATTCGCCATGGCTGATGAAATAGACTTCGGTTACGGCGGAGCGATCGTGTTCCGCGGCGGCGGAGATACGAGAGAAGAGAGGCGGAGAAGAAGGAGGAGGCGCGAGGACGTTGTAAGGATCCCAGACTTTGATGGAAGGTCCGATTCGAGGAGTTCCAAGAGAAGAGAGCTGAGGAGAGAGTGGGGAAGCAGAGGCGTGACAAGGAAGCATCTCAGGCTCTTGCTCAAGAACCTTTTTGACCAAGAGATTGTCAAGCTCGATTCTTCTGTTGTTCAATCCGCCATTAACATCTTCCTCTTCTTCTTCTTCACCTTCGCTCTCTGCTTCTTCATCTTCTTCATCATCGAGTATTTGCGAAGACTGTGACGACCCCATCGTCTTTCTCTTGAGTGCTCGGAAAATGCAGTGTCGGAGCTTAAGACGAGAGACTTTTACAATGGCTTCCAGCGAAAACCATTTTCCAGATCTGATGTGAAACCTCCAAATCAGTTAGAGGGTTTAGAATCTTACTGACCCAGCCCAAATACTTTTTTTGGACCTGGCCCAAACTCTAAAGTGAGGTAGCCTTAAGCTTTTTCCCTTTTCCTACTCGTAAATAGATTAGAATTTGCGGCTTATAAAGGGTAGTGTTTAAAAAAGAAATGAAGAGTAGAGGATTCATTCATATCAAAAGAAGAAGGAATCAACAATGAGAAAAGCAAAACAAGTGATTGCATCATTATCATCACAAAGAAAGAGTAGCATGTATTTGGAAGCATGTAAGAAACAAAGCATTGTTGGGATTGTTATTTTATGCGATAGCATGCTGTTATTCATAATTAACCCTGCCAAATGACACAATTTAACCATAAATCATACTAATTTCTGAAATGATACAGATTTTTCAAGAAAATGGGGAAAAGTATTTTCGTTAATCCACACAAAAATCACTTTTCCTCTGTGTGTGGATGTAAAAGGAAGATGAAATATAGATTTTATCTTAAAGGGACCATTGCCTCGTTGTTATAAAGAAAAAAGGGACCATTGCATCCGACATCTTTTATCCGTATTAATCTTCATTCAATATATTTTGTTGCACAAAAAAAAAAAAAAAATATTCAATTTATGGCATTGTTAAAAAGTTTAAATCTAATCACTGGGACCATTTTCATAGCTTGCAACCAAATTACACATTCTTTTGTTTGTCAACCAACTGAATTATAAACTAACGGTCGGATTTAGCCTTTGCTAATCATCTTCCTAATGCTTCTCTCACTGAAAAAATAATTCTGCAGACCCAAAAAAAAAAAAAAAGACAGAGAGGTGGCAAAGATGAAGTGGAGGTGAGAGACGGAAAGCAAAAATAGTCACGAGAATCAACACCAACTCTTAAACAAGAAATAAGAGTAAATAATGGTGGCTTTGACAAAATTGAAATCCCCAAAAATCTAAACTTTTTAGGGTTTTTGAGCTCTGGAAATCTCTCATTCACTCTCTCTCTTTTGCTCTAACTTTCTTCTTAGATTTCTCACTTTTTTCTTTTTCATAAGATCCTCGTGATTCCACTTTATAACGCCTCCTTTTGGATAATCTCTATATCTACGTTTCTCTCGCCTTGTCTCCTTTTGAGGTTTCATTTCAACTTCTCTCCAAAGTTGGAAACTTTTTCCACTCTCCCTCTACTAGTTTGAAATGAACGGCGATGGTGTTTGGCTTGACGGCGCCGGTGAATCTCCGGAGGTTAATAACAATGAAGCTGCGTCGTGGGTCAGAAACCCAGATGAAGATTGGTTCAATAACCCACCACCACCACCACAAATCCTCCACAGTAACCAAAATGACTTCAGATTCAATGGCGGGTTTCCTTTAAACCCATCAGAGAATCTGCTTCTTCTTCTTCAGCAATCGATTGATTCGTCTTGTTCTGCTCCGTTACATCCTTTCACACTCGACGCTGCTTCACAACAACAACAACAACAACAAGAACAGTCTTTCTTAGCTACAAAAGCTTGCATAGCTTCTCTTCTCAACGTCCCAACCAGCAATATCAACACTTTCGATGAATTCGGCTTTGATTCTGGGTTTTTGAGTCAACAATTCCATGGAAATCAATCTCCAAACTCGATGAATTTCGCTGGATTGAACCACCAGGGACCGGATTTTCTCACTTCCCGGTCACTTCCAGCGCCGGAAAACAGCTCCGGATCATGTGGATTGAGTCCTCTGTTCGAGAACAGAGCAAAAGTTTTAAAACCGTTAGAGGTGTTGGCTTCATCTGGCTCGCAGCCAACGTTGTTTCAGAAACGAGCTGCAATGCGTCAGAGTTCGAGTAGCAAAATGTGCAATTCAGAGAGTTCTTCTGAAATGAGGAAATCGAGCTACGAGAGAGAGATTGACGATACGAGTACCGGAATCATCGATATCTCTGGATTGAACTACGAATCTGATGAGCATATTAATAATAAAGGTAAGAAGAAAGGAATGCCTGCAAAGAATCTAATGGCTGAGAGAAGAAGAAGGAAGAAGCTTAATGATAGGCTTTACATGCTTAGATCAGTTGTTCCCAAGATCAGCAAAGTAACAAAAAGATTCTTCCTTTATTGTTTGTTCTTCTTAATTGTTCTGCAGATTCTTGTGTTCTTAATTTTGGGTTGTTGTGGCTTAAAATGTAGATGGATAGAGCAGCAATACTTGGAGATGCAATTGATTACCTCAAAGAGCTCTTACAGAGAATCAACGATCTTCATACCGAACTAGAGTCTACTCCACCGAGTTCTTCAAGCTTGCACCCGTTAACACCGACTCCACAAACGCTATCTTACCGTGTTAAGGAAGAGTTGTGTCCATCTTCCTCCTTGCCAAGTCCTAAAGGCCAGCAACCGAGAGTAAGAATAAACTCAAGTGCTTGTCAATGGACAAAACTAGATTTACTTATTAAGGCTTCTTTGTTTTGATATAGGTTGAGGTTAGATTAAGGGAAGGAAAGGCAGTGAACATTCACATGTTCTGTGGACGTAGACCAGGTCTTTTACTTTCCACCATGAGAGCTTTGGATAACTTAGGATTGGATGTTCAACAAGCTGTGATTAGCTGTTTCAACGGTTTTGCTTTGGATGTTTTCCGCGCTGAGGTAATATCGTTGTTAGATACTATGCTAATCACTGATTAGTAAACTAGCAGTCAAAGAATAGTTATTTTCAGAGAATGATTAGTATAGTAGTAATAACAACATGTTTTGTTTCTCTAATCAGCAATGCCAAGAAGACCATGACGTGTTGCCTGAACAAATCAAAGCAGTGCTTTTAGATACAGCAGGTTACGCTGGTTTGGTTTGATTGCGAAACAAAAGGAAGCATCTGTGTGGAACAGAGCTAGATCTAAGCCTCTTTTTCTTTTTTAGTCAGCAATTTTCTTACTTAGTTTCATCAATTTTAATCATGTATTGAAGATGATAACTGTTTTATTTTAGCTTTGAAAACATGGGGGTACACAAATTCAACCTTTTAGCAAATGCCATTGTTACTTTGCTTTTCATTTATGAGTTGTTTGCAAGAAGAGACCAATGTTGATTTTCACTGATAAAACACACATGAGAAACGGCTAGACAAAGATTAAGAACTGCACAATTCATAGGCAAAAGCACTGTTTTTTCCCCAACACTAACAGAGATGAATCTGTGTAAAAATCATATATATTTTCTAAATAAATGTTATTTTTATCTAATATTTTTGTTCTCATGTCCTCATTCTAGTTAAACACAAACATAATGGAATCATGATAAATATACTATTTTTCATCGATAAAACATATACAAGAAATGCTCTGTTTCTTACATGCTTCCAAGTACATCAAAAGAATTGAATAGGTATTTCATATATCAGAGATCAAACTTTGAATATAAGGAACATGGATTAAAATTTTACATTGAACATGATGTGTGAAAAATGAACAGACGGATTTTGTTTGGTGATCGTGCTCTACCAGATGTTTTGTATAAGGACATGATAACAATATCTTCTTGTTATTGCAAATCGCCAACGGTTTCCAGTCCACAAAGTTTTGTAACAGTGACTTGGAAGAAGAACAAGAAAACAAATCTATGGTATAAATCTTCTCCCACACGTCTTGTGATGATTTTAATCTCCAAATCTCTTTGAACGTCCTATGATTGGCTACCAGCTTCATGATGCACAAACTATTATCGAGAGTGCACATGTAAATTACCATAGGACTTGAAGTGGCAAGGATCGGATGAAACTTAGGCAACAACCGAAATGTTTCAGTATAAATATCAGGAGCTATTACTTTGATTTCGCCATTATATAGTTCCGTTAACCAAAAAATCGATCCGTCTACATATTCTGGGCTTTGTTGACCCCATATCCGATAACTTGGAGTACAAGTCAAGTACCTCCAAGCGTTTGCCCTAAAATCAAAAACCTCGCACTTGGTAAGTCCCTCGTTTGGACTCAGGGCATCCGCATTGTACTTAAGAGAATTATACAACCACACTAATTTGTAGGGAAGTGACTGGTGTCGTGAAATAGCATAGATCGGGATCCCAATTATCGTCTAGATTCTGTACCATTCTGTGATTCAAAATCTGAAACCTAGCCGGAGGAAGTTGTCTAAACCACCGTGTGGCCGGATTAACTACCCATATAAACTCTGATTTTGTGGAATAGATGCAGAAAAGACCGTCGCAACTTTTAGAAACGTAGAAACTGGAGAATTTCGGATGGGATTTGGGAAGAGTAAACGATAGAAGTGGAGTGGGCTCTAAGGAGAGTGTATGAAAACAAATCGAACGATGTTCATTTTCGAAGTATTCTCTGGAATTGATGGCGATGACTTTTGAGTGTTCCATGTGGGATCTTTTGGCAAACTTCAAGTGTCTCTCTGCAAAACTACGAGACTGGATCGTTGATCTCCATTGTTTTGAGAGAGACTTGAGTCGGATTAGTGATTTCACAGGAAGTCTCAAGAAGATTTCCTCTACAACGTCGTTTACCAGTGATGATGATGATGATGCAGTTGCTTCCATCGTTGCCTTCTTATTTCTTCTTTTGATATGAACGAATGTCTGTGTTATATAGTTAACAAGGAAATTAAAGCCATTCAATTTGTGTTTATGAAATATAAATTAGGTTTTAAATTTGGTTAATTAAAGGTTTTTTTAGTAATGCCATTTCAAGGAAATTTGATCCATAAGAAAATGATTTTAAGTTTTAAAAAGACAAAAAGTTATATGAATTATGAAATATAAGAATAGACCAGATTTTCTAATGTTAATTATTATTTTTGGCAGAAAACCTTACCTACTTACTTAAAGAAAAGTTAGAAAACCTTACCCAAAAAAAAAAAAGTTACAAAAGATAATTTGATAAGCTATAATCTAATAAAACCACTATACGTCACCTATATTAATTATTATTATCTTCTTCATTTTTAATTATTATTTTATTTTAATGTATCCTTAATATTAATTACTAACAAAATATTAAGGTATTAAATCTTAAAATTTATATGTAATTTTTCAATGTAAAAACAAAACATTTATGTCTATTGTCTACATACTTTTTAAAATTAATTACACAATAGTGTATTTGGGTTAAGTAATCTCTGTCCACGGGCCGGTCCTTATGTTCGTGTGGCCTAAAGCTTAAAATTTTTTTGTGACTTCACTCTATTTTCATAATTGAAAATTAAATCTATATAAATTCTTACATATAGCATTGAGTTAGTTTCCATTCTGTTTATGTAAAGAAGTTATTTAAAGTAATATTTTGTAGATATAATAATAAATATTTGCTTTTTATAAATGTTTTATATTGTAATGAAATAAAGAGTATAGGGTAAATGACACTTAAAGAACTAGTTTTAAAACAGTGAAATTTGCTATATTTGGTATATTTGGAAAGCACGGAATGAAAAATTGTTTGAAAATGTGGATAACGATCCGTTAGAGGTTTTACGGTTAGCGGAAAGAGAGGCACAATTGTGGCACTCAGCTCAAGTGGAGCTTCATACTGAAACTCAGGCTTCAGTGGAATTTCCAAATCGGCCTCAAACGAGGGGGGTGTCCCTAGATTCGGATTTTACAGGATACCGTTGTTTTGTGGATGGATCCTGGAAAGACAGCGACAAGTTTTCCGGGATAGGGTGGTTTTGTACACCATCAAACGGTGAGCCATCAACAATGGGAGCTGCCAACCTTCGTAGAAGCCTATCTCCGCTACATGCCGAATTCGAGGCCCTCCTTTGGGCGATGAAGTGTATGATTGGTGCAGATAATCAAGAGGTAGCATTCCTTACAGACTGTTCTGACCTGGTGAAGATGGTGTCTTCCCCAACCGAATGGCCGGCCTTCTCAGTGTATCTGGAGGAATTTCAGAGCGACAAGGAAGAGTTCTCTACCTTCTCTTTATCTTTAATTTCTCGTTGTGCAAATGCAAAAGCGGATAATCTGGCACGAAAAATTCGTACGGAACCGCTTCATATCACTTATGTAAACAACATTCCACAAGAATGGCTCTTTTGAGTAATATTTAATTACAGATGACAAAAAAAAAAAAAAAAAAAAAAAAAACAGTGAAATTTGCAACAAAAATAATATGAATAAAAACACTAACAAAATATGACATGTAAAATAAGAAAAAACAATTTAAAAACTTATACTCAAAAGTTTAAAAGCCAAAATTATATTTATTAACTAAACTATTGAAACAAAAGTCTTAAAACCAGAATATTGGAAAGTGAGATGTGAGAACACAGAGAATGATTTTCAATTTTGGAAATGTAAAAAGAAAAACTAAAAGTAGCAGGTGAGTAATAGGAGTCGAACCATCATTAATTTGTATCACAAGAAATGATTGAAGACCAATAGACTAAGGTCTCTTTTGGTTGCGTTGTATATTATTATTTTTTTTTTTGCTGAAATTAATCATTCCCATAGTCCTTCATTCCACAAATACAAACAATTCTGATGGGCCAAAACCAAGACCCCCAACCAAAAAAAAGACAGTAGAAACGAATTGAAACTATACCAATTCGGTTTCAACTGTCTTCTTTAAAACACGTCTCAAGATAGGTTTTATAGAATCAATTATTATCGAATAGTTCTCTATAGTGGAGAATACTCGTAAGATAAAACAGTAATAAGTCAAATACAGAATCAGATCCTTTAGTGACTGACTTGCTTCGAAATTGTGTGTGTTTATTTATGGTTCTTCTTCATGTTCTGTTTTTTGAGCTCAAGAAAGAATTTACCAAAATATTTTTATTTCATTTATAAATATTAAAATTGATTAAATAGAGAGAGACAGGTGATAGTTAGCAATGAATGCTCTCGTTGGTACAACTCCTCATTCGTCTCCGCAAAAATAGCAAGTTCTTAAACAAGAAAAAAAAAAAAAACTCATATTAACGATTTTATTTCTCGTGAGTTTGAGATTCTCTCTCTCTCGTGGATTCGTTAATTCTGGAAAGTTTGTTTATTTTCAAAAGAAGAAGAAGATGGATTCGTCATGAAAGCTATGATAATCATCATGTTTCTTACTAACCTCAATATACAAGAACAGGGCTTTTCAAGAACGTAGCATTCTCTGTTTCTGTCTCAATCCCTTTTGATTTTTTTGTGTTCGCAGATTCATCAAATGTCGGTTCTTTCTTCTCGGACAGGACGAGATCGTCAACGTTACGACAACAACTTCCGTCTCGTTTCTGGGTACCAACCAACCAAATCATTTTTTTCTTTTTTTTTTTGTTTCTTGATGATTTCCAAAATTTGCAAATCTTGAAAATATCAAGAAACCCCGATATCAGAAAACAAAAGTGTTGATTTTTCTTGTTGTTTGTTTCTCTACACATTATGAACAGATGTATTCCTTATAGGCTGATTAAAGCTGACGAAATTGAAGAAGACTCAAGTGTTGACTTTGTTAACAAACTTGAAGTTCTTATGGTTTCATCTCCTAATCGTCATGATCTTGTCTTCCCAAAGGTTTATTTTTTATTGAAAAGTCTCTGCTTTACTCTCATTTGTAATTGCTCAGTTTTTACAACTCATTTATATGCTGTGTATATTATTTTACCAGGGAGGGTGGGAAGATGATGAGACTGTTCTTGAAGCTGCTTCTCGTGAAGCCATTGAAGAAGCAGGTGTTAAAGGAATACTTAGAGTAAGTTTTAAACAAAACATTGAGAAAGTTATGTTAAAGTTGTTTGAATTACATGTGTTTTTTGTTTTCATCAGGAAGTTCCTTTAGGAGTTTGGCAATTTAGAAGCAAAAGTAGCACAGTGGAGGATGAATGTTTAGGTGGATGCAAAGGATATATGTTTGCGTTAGAGGTTACCGAAGAACTCGAGGATTGGCCAGAGCGAGAGAACCGCCAGAGGAAATGGGTATAAGCTCAAAACTCAAATGTGTAGTTAGTCATATAAGGAAGTACGATGTTTTGACTTTGAGATTACTCGAAAATGTGCAGTTGAATGTTAAAGAAGCGTTGGAGCTTTGTCGGTATGAGTGGATGCAGAGAGCACTTGAAGATTTTTTGAGAGTAATGGAAGATGAAGGAAGATTGACAACAGAGGAAGAGCCAGTGCAGGATTCTTCAAAGCTAGAGGAGGAGTGTCAAATAGATCCTTGGTATTGTTTTGTAGTTAATTAGTTTTTCATATTCTTTAGCTAATGTAAACAAATTGAAAACATGAGAAGTAAAGTGACTTCAAACACATGTGATATGATATAATCCCAAACCATCCGTCTTGAAGATATCTTTGTCTGTTTGAACTTTGAAGTGACAAAGATAGGTTTGTCTTTACTTGCAATTGGGACACCAACTGCAAAAAGACAAAAGACACAGAAGAAATTAACTAATCACACACAGATCAATGCTTAAGGATTGACTTCAAAATCAACTGAATTACCCTTAAAATCCAAATCCCTAAGCTTGTGTCACATGTTCTCCCATTGAAAGTTAAGTTAGGTTTCTTGACATTTGCACAGTTTTTGTCTGAGTCTATAATGACAATGTCCTTGTCACCACTTGGCTTGGCTCCATACATTCTTCAAGATGAATGACCTCAGAGACTTATGTAGCTAAAGTGTGGAATATATTAAGCAAAAGGACAAAAATGGAGAAAATATGAAACACTTTCTTGTTTCTGCTGACACAGTTTACGAAGCGGAAATAAGACTTTGGTGTTAAATTTTTTAACTCCCAACTAATTCCTTTAATTTAATGCCAAATCCAAAAAGGCATCAATCAAGTTCACACACTCCTTTGCTCTTCATAGTTTATATAGCAGCTTAAGGAACATCAAAGCTCAATAGACTTAAAGAGAGAGAAGCATTGATCTTTGAATATTGTGAACATGTTGAAATCAAGAAACAAGAGCAAAAGCAAACAAGAGAAGAAGTCACAAGAAGGGAAGTACCTTGGAGTAAGGAGGCGTCCATGGGGAAGATATGCAGCTGAAATCAGAAACCCTTTTACGAAAGAACGACATTGGCTTGGAACGTTTGATACAGCCGAAGAAGCTGCTTTTGCCTACGATGTTGCTGCTCGATCCATCAGCGGCTCTCTAGCTACAACCAACTTCTTCTACACTGAAAACACCTCTTTAAAAACACAACCACAACAGTTGTTACAGTCTTTAGGGCCTGATATGACTTGGGGATCTTCTAGTGTCTCTCTTCTTCATGATCAGCCTTTTGAAAACAACCATTTTGTTTCTGATCCTATCTCTTCTTTTTCTCAAGAACAAGAGTCTTCTGCCAATCTCACTAACTCTTTCTCACATTGTTATGACGATGATCATGTTGGTCAAAACAAAGAGATTTCTTTGCCTTCTTTGCCTAATGATATGTCAAACAGTCTATTCTGTAATCAGGACAAAGCCGGTGAAGATGACAATGCAGACCATATGAAGATTGGCTCAGTTCTCGGCGATGAACCTCACTGCTTCGAGTATGACTACATTGGGAATTATCTTCAGAGTTTTCTCAAAGATGTCAACGGTGATGCTCCTCAGTTTCTTATGTGAGATTTTATAAGCACTTTCAATACCAATCCTTCACTTTATGTAATATAAAAAGTATTGTATCTTTCTGTAGTGTCAAATGCATCCATTAAGCAGAGGATGTAACATGTTTGAATCAAGTTCATTACTATAATTTATAGAGCACAAAGACATAATAAACTCAGGAACTACAATTATACATTCCGAATCATATAGCAGTAAAAAAATAATGGAGCAGACTTCAAAAGTTGAGTCTTCACTTCCAGTTATTGGCAACAATGTCAGCCAAATCAACGACTCTCTGTGAGTAACCCCATTCATTGTCATACCAAGCAATCACTTTAACCATATCATCTCCCATAACCATTGTGAGAGAAGAATCAATAGTTGAGGATACATCAGAGCACCTGAAGTCAACAGAGACAAGAGGCTCATCACAGACGTCGAGTATACCTTTAAGCTCTTTCTCAGCTGCATCTCTGAAAGCAGCATTGACTTCTTCAGCAAAAGTCTTCTTGGAGACCTGCACCACTAAGTCAACCACTGAAACGTTTGGAGTTGGCACACGCAATGCGATTCCATTGAGTTTTCCTTTGAGGTTAGGAAGCACAAGAGCCACAGCTTTGGCTGCTCCTGTAGATGTTGGAACAATGTTCAAAGCTGCTGCTCTTGCTCTCCTTAGATCACGGTGGCTCGCATCTAACAACCTTTGGTCACCAGTGTATGAATGAGTAGTTGTCATTGTACCCTTTATGATCCCTACCAAGTTTAACACAACACAACATCGCTCAGCTTTTTACAAGATTGCAACATAGCAACATTTCGACTTTCTTATGATATGCTTACCGAATTTCTGATCAAGAACCTTGACGAATGGAGCAAGACAGTTAGTAGTACAAGACGCATTGCTGATGATTGTATCTTCATGGCTGTAAAGTTCAGCATTGACACCAACGACATAAGTTGGGATGTCACCTTTTCCAGGTGCAGTGATTAGAACCTTCTTGGCTCCAGCCTGAAGGTGCTTTCCAGCACCATCTCTGTCAACAAATACTCCGGTTCCTTCGATAACCAAGTCAATGCCTAGCTCCCTAAACATCATCACCAACATTTTGAAAACGTTTGATTTAGATCTAACCGGGTTGATTCAATTTAAATGATATGGAAGTGTTGTTTTAACTTACCCCCAGGGGAGATTAGATGGGTTACGGTCAGATACAATCTTGATGATCTTTCCATCAACAGAGAGAGCTGCATCTCCAGAAGGTTTGACATCAGCGTCGAAGATTCCAAGAGTTGAGTCGTATTTGAGGAGATGTGATGCTTGTTTAACACCACCAGTGTCGTTAATGACAACGACATCAAGAGGAGAGTCCTTACGACCATGCCAACACCTCAAGAAGTTCCTACCAATCCTACCAAACCCATTGATGGCTACCTTTATCTTGGCCTCGGTCACTCCTTTCCTGTATCCACCATTGCTTCCCATCTGTAACACAGAAAAAAAATATGTTATCATGGCTGATCGTGGCATGCAGGCTTGTTCGTGACAGATAGATCTACATTCTACAATGGTGGCGGCATTAGACACAAGAAACAGCTCTTGTGTTTACGAGATTGCACCATAAGATATATGACACAGAAGCAATAGAGAGACGTGGAAAAAGAAGGAACTCACTGCAGAAGTTTGGAAACTGACGAAGGAAACAAACTCATCGGAAGAAGATTTCTTGGCAAAGGGAAGAGCAGAGGAGTTTCGAAGTCCTGAGAACTCTGAGAAACCCTGAAATGTAAAACATGATAGTATTAATGAGATGATGATAAAACTTGTGTGAAGGGCAATCAGATAAATGTGGTTAGGAAGATGAAACAAAACCTGAAGAGATGGTTTGGCCACAGAGAAAGTAGCCGAAGCCATGGCTACCAGAGAGAGAGAAGCTTGTGTAATAATGTAGCAGAAGAAGCAGAAAGTAATGTTGAAGCAGAGAGTGGTAATATAGGAAAACTAGAATTGCTGAGTTGGAGGCAAAGAAGATGAGATTCTGGATAGCTTTGTCATACATTTGTATGGTTGTGGTTTTATCACTCTCTTCCCTCTTCACGTTTTCTATGATTCACACATCTTTTTGTTTTTCTCACTTGGGCTTCACAAGTGGATGGGCTTCTCCATCATGTGGTCACATTTGCACAGTATATGATCTAGTGACTCGACATACCTTCTTTGGACCATTGAGAAGTCAACAAGATTTTCTCTGCAGATGAAAATCACTGACACATTAAGTGTGACCCTCTTCTTGCGACTTGTTAGCCAGTTAAAAGATTATACATTTTTTCTTTGTAATCTCAAAGAAATATGTGTGACCATTTATATGTTAATATCTCAAAAAAAAAAGCCAACTCTACTAAGCCTCCAACTAAGGACCCATCACATAAACTCAGTTCAAGTCAATGCTAATGAAATTTCAGAAATATCAGGAGAAAGAATCTAGCCTCAAATTCCTCCTTCAATCTCTTTTAAATTTTTCAGTGTCCCAAATTTAACCACTGCATCGATCGATCACCACCTGTATGGATCTTTAGTACAACGATCAAATAGTTAGAAATGTATAGACTTGATGATTACAACAGTAAAGCTGATACTTCTACGCTAAAGTTAATGTTTTATGTTACCAATCTATAGAAGAACAGACATTAGTTGAACTAAAGAACTGACGTTTGAGAACTAAAACCATCTTTGCATGGCTGAGCCATAACAACCAATACTCTGTTGAGGAGTATCTTGATGAATTGCCTGAAAGGCTTAAACCTAACAAGCTCTTAAAGGATTGAGAAAAATAAGAGCCTAATTGCAGTACTTTTTTGTGCATTGACTTTATAGAAGCCTATTCAAAGACATGCAATAGAAACTGAGATGTGTAATTACCTCTATCTGTCCATTGTTCTAATCAACAAAAATCTAAACCTAATCATCCGGAGTAATGAGGTAAACACTTCCCATGGGTCAATACTGCAAAGATTGTGCTAAGCGAGAAATGGCAATGAAGCAAAATTCTAGATCAAAGGATTATTCTTTCTTATCAATCATATAGATCAATGAGTCAGTGCAAGCTTTGCATTTTGAGGATAGCAACAAGATCAAGCAGATTCATTAATACGATTGAGAACAGTCTTTACATCTTGAGGATAGTAAGAAGGGTAACAAGACCCCTAATACGATAGAAAATGGGTAAAATCTAATCTGACAAGAGATGAGAAATTCTTTTAAAAGATCAAACCCTGAGAATTTGCAGCTTGGTGGAGAAAGCAATGGCGACCCAATCAGGCTGAGAAGAGGACCATTGAAGCTGCTCAATCTCAGCACCAGCAGTGTAAGCGAGAATAGGGTCAAGACCACCTTCAACATGCTGTCCCATGGATGAAATATCCCAAATCAAGGCTTGAGAATCGTCTCCAGCAGTACAAATGTGACAAGAGCTATGAGGAGCCCAAGCAATGGCATTGACACTAGCTTGATGTCGTTGGAGCTCAACCACAGGAAGAGCCGGAAAACGAATGTCGAGCACCACAACTTTAGCACTGTCCATGATAATAGTAGCCATGTACCTAGGATCCTGCTTGTTCCAACCAAGACGCACCAAAGGAGTATCAGGCTCAGAACTCTCATAGATAATCGTCGAATGTTCCTTATCACGAAGATCAAACACCCTAACGGAGCCATCAGCAGAAACAGAGGCAAAAACACCAACACCACCCCAAGCAATATCAAAAACTTCCTTATCATGAGCAATAAGCTGAGTATCAACAGCTTCACGCTCAATGTCCCAGATAGTACAAGTCGTATCAGTACTAGATGTTCCAATTCGACGTGGTTCAGCTTCGTTCCAATCAAAAGAAGTAAGAGGACCACAAAAGTCACTGTTCTTATTGCTATTGAGACAAGATTTGAGCTCAACACGGGAATGATCATCAGCGATTCGCCATAAACGAAGGAAATCACTTGAAGTAGCGAGAAGATCAGGTCTTTGGCATTCTTTGTCAGGGATGAAAATGGTCTTCGTTGGTGGGTATGGATGCTCAAAGGAGAGGTTAGGATCGGAACGGATCTCGCCATTGGATTCATCGAGCTGCACAATCTCGACACGGTTCGGGTATTGCTCGAGGAGGCTAGTGATGGCGAGACGGTACTTCTTATCACGACGAACGCTCCAATTCATTGCGTAGATGTGCCATGGAGCTTCGTATGTGTAGATCTCTGAACGTTTTTGCTGCTCATCGGAACCATCTTGAATCGGATCGCTGCTCGTTCCCATCGTGAAATCGATTCCGAGCAAAAACCCTAGAAAATCGCCTCCGCTAGTTCCGCTTCTATCACTCACTCAAAAGAAAATGGATATTCCAAATTATTTTATAAATGATGAAAACGACACCGTTTGAGGAGACGAGAGTAAATAAATATCGTTATCTCCGTCTTCACCAATGATTTTCTCTGAACAAAAATAAAACCAGAAGCTAATAACAAAAAGAAGTTTAAAATCCTCAAAAATTACAACACAAATTGTCTAACAAAACACAGGAAAAAAAAAAAAACTTAAGACAGAGACAAGCTTTTCTTTAATGTTCTGTAGAAAACAAGAAACTTAAATTTCTCTTCTGTTTAAACTTCAAATCTTTGTTGATAAAAGACCATCTTTATGCCACATTTTCCCTCACTGTATCGATCTGAAACCATCACCAAAAGTTAACCCACTTTAATCAGAATCTTCATAAACTTCAGTATCCGATAACTCATCAAATGTCCTCATGTCAAGCTGGTAACGTAACATACCACCAATCCCACCAAAACCTCTGCAAAACTGTGATCCTTCTTGGGATTTGTTAGTCACAAACTCAAGTGTGCAACCGAAACGTTTGTACTCATTTGCAAACCATTCGAGCAGAGGCATCTTCTCCTGGACTTCTAGCTCCGCGTTAGTCTCTGAATCATGGAAGTTGCTTGTATCAGACTCTTGATCTTTCCCAAAGTGTTTCACCACCATTTCTCCTGTCGTGCTGTTCTTTAGCTCGTACCTGTTTATATCCAGATTCTCCCACACGATAAGGGTTTCGATAGCACCCATTTCTAGAGCCTTTAGAGTATCCTCCACACCGAAAACGTATTTCCCAGTATCTTGACTTATCTCCTCAAAGTACTTCCCAATCAGTTTCTTCTCCTGTATGAACTTCACATTCGATAGAATCTCAGCAGACAGCTCAATAGCTTGGTTGAAACCGTTTTCACCTCCGTAGGAAACATCGACAACATTTAATATCTTAGCTTGAAGACGAGGATCAAACAACTCTGACTGACTGAGCTCAGTTTTGAAATCAGCTGAACCAGCAAGGATCAGACCAGAGACATTAGGCTGACTCGTAGCTGGATTGATGTAAAACTGTGTAGCAAGCTCAGCGGTTTTCCTAACATAATTGTGTCTCTTCTCCATCCTAAGACGAGCAAAACGAAGCGCAGACTGTCCTCCTCTACCATGCTTCTTCGGGAGATCAACAGTAAACTTATGAAGAACCTCTCTAGTATTCCCACTCAATGTTCCAAACAGTGTCCCATTACCATCCATAACAATGAAACCAAACTTGTCATCAGACTCAAGAAGCTCGTTCAATGCCTCGGTATGGAACTTGTTGTCACAAAGGTACAAGGAAGCGTTAATCGGCCTAAAGGGCTCGAAATCAAACGTGACTTTCTTCTCTTTACCATCATCATTAACAATAGTGCCGGTGTAGAGAACAAGACCATTAGTAGGAACCTTGTTGTAAAGCTTCAACCTTTGTTGAGCAGAAGTAATGGCAGACAAAACAGATTGGCGATTGACTCGACTCTTAATGTTTGAAGCAGTTCCATATTCATCACCAAGCATCTTTGTGACACGCGATACTTGATCACGAGGAGGCATAATAAGAGAGATCATACTCGTTCCATTACCTCTAGCTGATTCAAGCCCCTTGATTAGTTTCTTAATCTTCCAGATCTCGATGTTCGTATCTGATTCTTCTGCCATTTTTTGCTACTCTCGAGGTTGAAGATGGAGAAGGAGAAATCAAAAAGCAAACCCAACTACACAAAAAGAACAAATTCAAAGCAAGTTTGAAAAAAATGAGTACTTTGAGCAGCGTGAATTTCGGATACAACACTAATAAGAAATCGAATTTTGGTTTCAAGTGAAGTAAAGATCGAAACTTTTATCAAAACGATTACGATGAACAGATTGAATCCATTATACAGAGAGATTGAAATCGGGGCAAGCAAAACGCAAGCACGTACCTTTTTTCTCTCTCCTCCGGCGGCCTCTCTCCTCCCAGAATTTGACTGGCCTAGGGTTTTCCCAAATTCCAACTCCCAACCCAATCACGTGATACTCACGTGCAAACCACAGGAAAACCGAGGTAATGGGCTTTATCTTAACTCAAAAGGCCTAATTACGTGAAAGGTGGATCTGGCGGTAGTCCAAGACCTTTGCCTTGAGACTGCGTGCCGTTTTTTGGTTTGCATCATAAATTAAAATTAAAATAAATGAGAGTGATATGTTAACATTGGGATGTATATTATTATTATTCTTCTCATCAGATGAATCTAAAAGAAATGGCTCAAGATTCTTCATGAGGTTTCTTTCCCCTCCTACTGTACATTAGAAACAGAGCATTGACAGAAATGAAGAAGAAGAAGATGATGGATCATTGCCCTCATTATTAAGGCAACAAAATAAAATGAACATAAAACAAAGAAAAAAAGTTGATGGATTGATTGATTGATTCATATGATGTTCGGATTTGGATCGTTTCGATGAGAATCCGCAAAATCTCTCACTAATCGCTTCAATGTTCGACCGTGTTTCCCTTGCATATGTCCTCCTCCTGAACTGTTGTTATTGTTTCCAAAATTGCAGCTTTTGTTCTCAAGGTAATCGATCCCTGCACCTCCTAGAGCTTCTGACCATTCCCTCACTATGCTTTCTGCTTCTCCTTGCTTTAGATACTCACTCGGAAGTGCCCAAACCTGAATACAAAAAAAAAAATCCATCAGAATAAACAACACAGGGGCGGAGTTTGGTCTTGATGAGATCACAAGAGAAAGAGAGAAACCGCTGAGTTTAGCCATCCTTGGAGAGATTTCCAACACAACATTCCTTTCCATGAAGTCCTCTCACATAAACTGCAGATTGCAGCTAGTTGTTGCAGTATTGTTGAACACTTATGGACCTAAAACAAAACAAAGAACAGAAATGACAGCGTGAATCAAAGATCCCAATCAATCACTACTTTGTGAGAAATTTTACTCAAATTATTTACCCTTGACATAGCTGCAACTCCAAGTAGAGCATAGACCAGATTAGACAAAAGCCCCTCTCCACAGTGAGATACGACCTGGACAGAGACCACGCTGAATGATCCTTCTGATATGCTATTCACGGTTTCGATCATGGATGAAAGCGAAACCTCCAAGAAACCTATAAAGCTCGAAAACATTGTGTTTAGTATGCTTATGACCAAAGGTTAATGCTGTTTTCGTTAGTAAACCACTGCAAACTTACCTGACAAGTATGACATTGCAGCTAAAGCTGCACCTCGGTGCATAGCTGTACAACAGATAGCTGCTTTATGGAAAGAAATTTCCAGAAGTGTTCCAGAAGTACCCAACAACTCCTGTTTGATCAATAGAAATTGAACCAATTCACCCCCAAGACTCTTTTTTAAGAAAATAATGAATTGAAAGTTATACTTTAACAAGCAAAGAGTGGATGCAAACCTTATGACAACCACGGATAAGTGCTGATGCGAAATTCACATACGCTTCCACCAAATCGGGTTCTTGGTCGCATATATATGACGAATTTATGCCCATCAGTGATGATGCTTGAGTAAATCTCTCAAACGTAGTGATAAACAAGGACCCGTATTCCTCCTTATGACAAAATTCTTCGGCGATTACACAGGCTGTGATAACAAGTGCGTGACAAGGCAAATTTCAGACAACTGGCTGGTAACCTAACTAAGCTTGGGAATAATTTATCTAAGCTAGCCAATAAAAACTGTGGCTAATGAATTAACGCTAGCATCTCAAGAGATTTTTCTCCAAGAGTGGAGCCTGTACCTGAATTAAGAAACCCTCACCTGTTCTTATGTAACATTCTTGGCTTTGGAATGACAGAAAGTTTCTCGATAGACAATCCAGTACACTAGGTAGTAGCAGCATAAAGTGCTCACCTGTGAATAAGGCAAATTTTAAGATGTCAAAATGTCAGTGAAACCTGTCTAGGGTACGAAACAAGAAATAATTGGTAGATATACTAAGAAGTTATCCATTAGTGTAAAGGACGCTTTGGAATAGGGAAGTGTTCCAGGCTAATAAAGGCACAACGAGGCGAATGTAGCGGAATAGAATAGGGAGATGAGAAGTTTGAAACCTGACGACTGAACTGCCACTGAAAGAGCACGGCATGCTGCTGCAGCTAAACTACCACTCTCCATGTGTTCAGACCTAAATAGCTTCTCCAAAATGGGCCAGAAAACAGTCAACAAAGAAAGGATTGGACCATCAGCCACAGGGACAGATGATAGAGACGTTGCAAGGTGACTGAATACAGTTCCTATCCTGATTCATGAAACGAGTGAAGAGCAAAGTCATCAATGTGATATTCTTCCCAAGCTTTTGTACACCTCATAACAAAACTACCAGAGAGTGCAAGCTACTAAAGATCATGGATTGTTCAGAGTTATCAGATCTATTTAGCGCAGTTTACCCGAAATATATATAACACAAAATTATGACAACGTTATTCATAGATGACTTGAAGTCCGGACGCAGCAAACAGTTCACCAAAAGCTCCTAGATTACATCGCAATTAAGCAGGATAGAAAATAGATCAGTAACAGAAGCAGACCTGTAAAGACCTCTTGTAACAGAGCTCAGCATTCGTGTATAAGTGGCTGGACTTTGTCTACCCGAAGACTCAGCGTCTTCATCTACCTAAAACCACAAAGGTATTAGTCTGAATTCTATCTCAGAAGTGTATCATCTGTCGTATCATCACAGAAAGATTAGAAAAATATCCCAGAAAGAAAAAGAAAAGATCATCTATATATTTTTCTAGTTACTAGTTAAGAGTTTGATGAATACTGGCCTCAGAGAAGTATGTGGACAATTAGCTGATTCTTTTTTCATTAATGCAGAGCAAAAACAAACAGCTACTTGTACAAGCAAAAGAATGACGGGGAACCTTGAACAATAACTCTTTGTAACTGAACAATATGAACACTTACAAGTTTCGAAAGAACTCCATAACTTGACGAAAGCAATTGAGTTAATAATTTATTTTGTAGCTCTTTGTTAGAAACAGAGCCAAGGATCACAGTGATAGCGGTAATGACTTCTTCCTCATCTTCCAAGGCC